CTGTTTAATATTTTTGGCCAAGCCCTTCTGTCCTGCATAGTTTCCTTTGAGAAATCAGCTGCCAGTCTTATGGGTTTTCCCTTATAAGTAACTATCTGCTTTTCTCTTGCTGCTTTTAATATTCTTTTTTAGTATTTAACCTTTGGCATTTTAATTATGATGTGTCTTGGTGTGGGCCTCTTTGGATCCCTGATTTTTGGAATTCTCTGAACTTCCTGGGGTTTTATGTCCATTTCCTTCACCAGGTTAGGGAATTTTCCATCATTATTTCTTCAAACAGCTGTTCGACATCTTGATTTTCTTCTGTTATGCCGATCAGACGAATATTTGGACCCTTAATGGTGTCCCATATGCCTCTTAAATTATTTTTATAGTCTTGGCATCTTTTTCTTGACATTCTGACTAAATGTCCTTGGATTTTCTGTCCTCTAGATAGGTCATTTGATCCTTTTCTTTATTCACTTTGTTTATTCCATTTAATATATTTCTCATCTCGGATAATGTGTTCTTCATTTCAGACTGGTTCCCTTTTATAATTTCCATTTCAATTTTTATGTTTTTTTATCTCCTTTTTGAAGCTCTCACTGAATTTATCTACATTTCCCAAAAATTCGTTGAGCATCTTTATAACCAGTGTTTTGAACTCTGCATCTGTTAGATTACTTGACTCCATTATATCTGGATCTCTCTTCTGTTCTCTCATATGGTTTCTGCTTCTTTGTCTTCCCATTTTGGCTGCCTCTCCGTGTCTGTTTCTATGTCCTAAGCAAAGCTCCTAAGTCTACCAGTCTTGTTAGTGTGGATTTGTGAAGTAGGTGTCCAGTGGCACAGTCTTGAGAGGGGTTCAGCTGCAGGCCAAATTTAGCCCAAGCCTCTGCCCCTCCAGGGCCACCTGTTAAGATTCAGCAGGCAATCCCCAGAGTCTGTGCTTATAGTTGCCTCAAAATTGATCAGATTTCTTGACGGTCCTTTGCTTAGTGCCTTGTCAGCACTGCTAGCAGGTGTCCAATAAATGCTTGTGGATTGGGCTTAACCCGTGCCTCTTCAGCTGCAGCCTGTCACTGCATGGCCACATCATTGTTGTTGTTCTGAGGTTTATGGTTCAGACTGAGTCACTGTCTTGTGTTCTCTGAGAATAGTAGCTCTCTGTACTTTGACTTACAGGAACTCACTAATCTTTATGCCTAAGTCCAGGTGCCTCAAAGACTGTGACTTCACAGATAAGGAGGGATGCCCAGGTCAAGGTTCGCTGAAAGGAAGGGTGTGAGCCCAGGTCCCGGGCGGGGCACCAGGGAATTCCATCTGGCCACACCCCACCCTCTGCAATTCACAGTTACGCTAGAACTTGATGTGCCAAGGTTGGCAATTTGTGGGTGTGTGTGGAAAACCCCTTTGAAAGAACTGTAGCAATTCAGTTTTCACGCATGGAAGAAAATACTGGCGGTTGAAACTTAGTTCTTTATTAAAGCAGGACCGATAACAACCTCTTCTAGATACTTGATTAACAATTCATTTGCTGTATGTCGTGCACTAGGATGAAGAAAGCATTCCATTTGTTGGAATTGTGCCATAATCCAGGCTTTTTGTAATTTAGACTGTGCTGTTCTCAGCTCTACCAGGAATAACTGGGCTGTTCCAGAAGCCCAGGCCTGGCCTCCTTGCCTAGACCCACAGTCACAGAACTTGAGACTTCAGAGATGATCTCATCAACACCCTCATCTTTTCAGATAGGGCCCCTGAGACTGGCTGGTGCAGTGGAGCCAGCTTTGTCCCAGTGGGTTCCAGACAGCCCTAAGCTAAGC